ATGGGCTGGGCCGTCAGCTTCATCCTCGCCACCCAGTGGGGTGGTGTCACCAGGAAGTGGAACAGCGCGAGCGTCGTGGTGTGCCTCGTGCTCAGCGGCGTGCTCCCGTTTGTCTTTGCGTTCTATGAGTTCTACATGAAGGACAAGGGGTACTTCAGGATCAGGCTGTTGAAGAGGAGGACCATCGGGTGAGTGGGCTGCTCCGGCCGATACGACTTCGTGCTGACTTGTGATTACGATAGTGCCGCGTGCATCGTCGCGTTCTGTGTCTTCGGTCTCTTCATGATTCTCGTCTACTACCTCTCGTGAGTACAGTACCTTTGCGTCATGCCAGACTCTTTGCTGACATCCATCCAGCCTCACATTCCAGGCCGTTCACCACACCTCTGCCACCGGCGCTGGTGTCCGCCTCCTCCCCCTCATCCTCGTCCAAGTCGTCACCCTCATCATCTCCTCTCGCGTCATCCCCATAATCGGCCGCTTCAAGCCCGTCATCGTTTGCGGTCCCATCTTTATCGCCATCGCCGCCGGTCTCTTCTACAGCATCAGCTACACCACCCCCATCGCCAACCTCTATGGCTACCAGGTCATCCTCGGTATCGGAATCGGCATGTGCTTGCAGAACATCATGGTTGCCGTGCAGCACGACTTGAAGTCTGAGCCTTGGCTTATTTCTCTTGGTACCGGTCTCACCGTCTTCAGTACGTGCCCTCGTCTTTCCGCATTCACCTCAATCTCTGAGCTGACCCAAATCACAGTTGGCTTTGCCGGTCGTATCCTCGCCCTCTCCCTCGGTGGCTCCGTCTTTGAAAACATGATCCAGCGCAACCTCCGCTCTGGTGTCCCTGGCGTCACCGAGCAAATCATCTTTGCCGTCGTCAACGACGCCTCCGCCGTCTGGACCACCGTCCCCGAGGACCTCCGCGTCCCCGTGCTCGAGGCCTACACCAAGACCCTCTCGCAGGTCTTCATCATTGCCCTCCCGCTCGCCATCATTGCGCTCGGCGGCGCGCTCCTCATGCGCAACGACCGCATGACAAGCAAGGAGGACGAGGAGAAAGAGAAGGAGGCGAAGTTGGCTGCAAAGGCCGAGAAGGATGCGGCGGAGGGCAAGGCCGTGGATGAGGAGGCGGCGGTCGGGCTGGGCACGACATCGCTGCACGAGAACGACGACGGCGTGGCGAGGACCGTCTCGGGTGAGAGCAAGGAGAAGACGAGTGCGGTATAGGGGCGGGGGTACGCATAGGTATATAGTGTAGTTCTGGACTTTTCCCCCTCTCATAGACCACCGGGTTAGACACCGGACCGGGGCCTCGGTATATAGCCCCTTTCTGATATAATGCAACATTAAAAGACATGTCTAGTATCAATGGCTTCAACATTGTCTCGTGTTTGTAGTAGAGATAGGCAAAGAGGAGATGGAGTTCCGTCAGGGGCTGGTCATGCCTGAAGGGGGAGGTTGAGGACTGTTCGTACCCGAATCTGAATGAGGCGGACGGATCAACAGCTCCTCCACTAGCGTATATTATGCGTATCTTAGGGGCATATCAATCTTATTTTTCCCATGGTCACACCATGGTCGATTCTGTACCAGACTGTCAGTACTACTCATGACGTCTTCCGCGCTCTCTCGTTGAGGCCCGACGGACGGCCATGGAGAGCGAGCGAGACAAGTCGTCGCGGACCGCAGAGCAAAATCGGCCGAAAAGACCCATGTTCTCTCAGCATACGACATGCATATCGTTCAGTTCGGATCTTGCCAGAGACGCCAGAGGCGCCCCGTCAGCGTGGTCGCCTTGTGACTTATTCACCACGTGAAAGGTCTCGTGCACCACGGATGTGGTCGTCCTCCTCTCTCCCGGCCCGTCTGCATCATGTGTACGTATAAATAGCTTTGCGTTGAGCAGATGGGAATGTGAAGCTCTTCGTCCCAGCCAGCGCCTCATACATAACCAGAATCGACAGCCCTCTGCAAGGCTAGTGTCAACAACAGCGCAGCCAGTGCACTCAATGATGGCGTCCCCGACACCGACAATCGACACTCCCGCGGATGAAAAGAAACACTCGTTTATCGGGACGCCGGCTTTGCCTGTCGGCGCCGCCGGAAGTACCACACCAGCTGAGTCGATGGTGGACGAGAGAACGTCTACCCCAGTTGGCAAGGTGCCTAAGGAGAAGAAGATAAGTGCGCCGCCCAAGGGCCACTCTGGCGTGGTAGACATTCCAAACATTGCGCGTTGGAGGTTCTTCGCCATCTTTGGCAGTTTGATGCTATCGGTATTTCTCTTTGCGTTAGGTTAGTCCTGCACACTCAATAACGTCCAAAGAAGAGAAGAGACTGACCTGTCTTACAGATCAGCTGATCGTCGCCATCGCCATCGCCAAGATCACTTCCGAGTTCGATTCCCTCACCCAGCTCCCATGGCTCGCGTCTGGTTTCTTGTGCGTACTCGTATTCCTAGCGGTGTATCCTACTGGGAAGCTGATGTTTTCCCAACAGCCTCACCCTTCTCTCCTTCAACCTCCTCTACTCCCAAAGCATGAACATCTTCCCTTCAAAGCACGTCATCACCACCGCCGTCGTTATCTTCGAGGTCGGTTCTCTCGTCTGTGGAGTCGCCAGGAGCATGGACGTCTTGATTCTAGGTCGAGCAATCGCGGGACTGGGAGCTGCGGGTATCTTCATCGGTGCTATGGTGGTGGTTGCCGAGCTGGTGCCGCTCAATAAGCGTGGTGTCTACTTTGCGATGTTCGGTGTTTGGCGAGTCTTCTAGTGATGCCATGTCTCGAGGAGGCTTAAGCTGATCCCCGAAATAATAGCTTCGCTATCGCCTCACTCCTCGGTTCTCTCATTGGCGGTGCTTTCGCCGACCACGTCAGCTGGAGGTATGCGATACTTGACCCCATCACGGTTCCCCTACCGACATATGTGCTGACTATCACTCAGGTGGTGCTTTTACATCAACTTTCCCTTCGCCGGTATCGCCATCGCCTGTCTCGTCTTCTTCCAGCCCACCCGTGCACCTCTCGGCCGTGCCCAGTCTTACGAAGGCTACAACAACAAGATGCTCTGGCAGTTCTTCAAGCTGGAATGGGCCGGTGTCGTTCTCTCAATGGCCTGGGCTGTCAGCTTCATCCTCGCCACCCAGTGGGGCGGTGTCACGAGAAAGTGGAACAGCGCGAGCGTCGTGGTGTGCCTTGCACTCAGCGGCGTGCTCCCGTTTGTCTTTGGGCTCTATGAGTGGTTTGCGAAGGACAAGGCGTACTTCAGGATCAGGCTGTTGAAAAGGAGAACTATCGGGTCAGTAATTATGCCGGCCGATATGACATGATGGTGATTGCTGACCCGCAATGTCATAGTGGCACTTGCATCGTCGCGTTCTGTGTCTACGGTCTCTTCATGGTCATCGCCTATTACCTCTCGTGAGTGCTACTGCGCAATAAGCCTCCTACTGACTTCCCTACAGCCTTGCATTCCAAGCCGTGCACCACACGTCCGCCACCGGTGCGGGTGTCCGGGTCCTCCCCCTCATTCTCGTTCAAGTCGTCACCCTCATCGCCTTGTCTCGTGTGATCCCCATTATCGGCCGCTTCAAACCTGTCATCGTTTGCGGGCCCATCTTCATCTCCATCGCGGCCGGTCTCTTCTACAGCATCAGCTACGCCACTCTCATCGCCAACTTGTACGGCTATCAGGTCATCCTCGGTGTCGGGATCGGCATGTGCCTGCAGAACATCATGATTGCTGTGCAGTACGACCTGGGGTCTGAGCCATGGCTGATTTCTCTGGGTACCGGTCTCACCGTGTTCGTTAAGTACTGTTGTGCGCCCCTCGCTCTTCTTGAAGTTGCAGCTGACTCTATTGAAGTTGGATATGCCGGTCGTATCCTCGCACTCTCCCTTGGTGGCGCCGTCTTCGAAAACATGATCCAACGCAACCTTCGCTCTTCCATCCCAGGCGTCAGCGAGCAGATCATCTTTGCCGTGGTCAACGACGTCACCGCCGTCTGGACCACCGTGCCCGAGGACCTCCGGGTTCCTGTTCTCAGAGCCTACACCAAGTCACTCTCGCAAGTCTTTGTCATTGCCCTGCCGCTCGCGATCATCGCGCTCGGTGGAGCGTTTCTCGTGCGCAACGATCGCATGTTGAGCAATGAGGACCAGGAGAAAGCAAAGACAGAGAAGGTAGATGCGGCGGAGGCCGAGGTCGGGGTGGATGAGGAGGCGGCGGTGGGGTTGGGCTCAACATCGGGTGGGGCGTCGTTGGGCGAGAACGATGGCGGCGTGGCGAGGATAGTGAGCGGCAGCAGGGAAACGGGAAAGAGGAGTGCGCCTTAGAGGCGAGAGTAGTTACAGGTATATAGTGTACATAGTTCTAGAAGTTCCCCCCACTCATAGACCACCGGGTAGACACCGGACCGCGGCATCGGTACATACATACCCCCCTTCTCATGGTCCCTTACGATCACATAAAATGCATTCTACAGACCTATGTACATGTCCGGTGTTCACTTGGGATCATTCCCAGTCCCAACAAGGGTCAGTTTGTAGGACCTTCGACGATTTATCGTGCTCAACTGCTCAAAGTCAAGGCATGTCGTTCATCATGAAACGGTGCTGTACATACTCTTTATTCATGAAGAGACCATTTCAAGTTATGAAAACGTTGCTGTTACGCCCTGTAACCTTTATATCAAATTATTACTGCCTCTGGGCCATCGCCAACTTTTACGACGAGTCAGCGGAACTATCGCGTCGCGGTGGAGCCTCGCAAGCACACGACACGTTCAGAAGACCACCAGACCTGAACGGTCACTGCTTGGAAGACCCACAGAGTGTGCACCCGGTATAAAGCAACTGCCGGTTAGTAATGCCTTATCATCAACAGAGAACAGGATACGTCAACAAAAAGTACCAAAAAGAACATATAAGCATACATAATTGCAGCGAAGGGTAAAAGTCGGACGACAGTTTTGCAAGAGAAGCTTTTTTATCGAAACATCTCATTGGCTCAGTTGGTTAGAGTGTTCGCTTCACATTTCTTAACCGGGATTTAACCCGGGATGTTCCGCGAAAGGTCCCCGGTTCGATCCCGGGATGGGATAGAATCTTTTTGCATCTTTTTCTTACGGTTTTAGCACCCTTTCACAGCTTTTTACAACGGTTGTTTTGTTTTTCTAAGGCTTTCTTAACTTCGGCAGGTGCAAGGTGCAACTTGCACGCGTCGCGCGCGCGTCATCAACTCTTCCCTCCTCCTTCCTTCTTCTTCCTTCCTCACGATCACCTCCTGATATATACACCACATCTTCCTTCGCCCATTTTACGCTTCTTCTGCACCCCTTCACTTCGTAGCCGACAGACGCGCCATGCAGCTTGAGGTGGCCGCGCAGGAGGGAGGCTTGGGATCTGGAGCCATGGCCCAGCCTTCTTACAGCTCGGTGAGTCATAATTGTCGATCATGTACTAAGCAAAGCGTTTAGACTTGACGTGTCATGATTCGCAGGCAGGAGAGTCGGGAATGGCTCTGCTTCATCTGATGGAGTTTGAGCTCGCGTATCCCGCCGAGGCAAGTCGTACTCCACAACACCTGTCGAATACAGTTATCAGGGGTGCCCGACGATCACGACTGACAGTCCTTGCAGCACGTCTCCGACGCGAACCATCGTGCCAGGAAGCCCCGCACTAGGCGCACCACCGAAGAGCAGGGCGATGCGGCGAGCGTAAGCCACACATCTTCGCCGTTCTTTCTCCGTTCGCCCTTTGACACGCTCTACTCCCACTAGGCCGAGGAGAACGCCATGCAGCGGACCTATCGACGATACTACAACCTCGTCCTTCAAGGCAGATACACACACCTCAACAGAAACCAAGCCTCGTACGCCATGCGCGTGCAAGCTCAAATGCGCATCCAGCTCATGCTCCGCAACGCGAATATCAAGGAGCAGCGCCGCCTCATCGAGCATGCGAGGGTCTGCGTCGCCCGAGCCAAGGCCATGGTGGAGGCCTACATGGCGAACGACAAGACCCGCGCAGAGCAACTCATCAAGGAGCATTATCGGCGGCGCGGCAAATCGCCGCCCTAAATCGGCCGTACATCGTCAACTTTGTACATACTTCAACACTGATTTCGGCAGGGAAGTTGATTACTGTACATATCATATACCCTACAGTCAGGTTCGTTACGTACTATTATGTATTTCATCTCGTGGGTCCGTGTATGGGCGTCACCGAACTCACTGACGAACTCTTACCCATTTATCATCAGGCTGCGTGATGGGTCACCGCGACCGGCTTGTCTCGGGATGCAGTGGAGTGGATTGGCATGATGTATCCATGGGGGCATGCGACGGGCATTAAATGAGGGCATAAAAGAGACCTATATAAGTTCTATGATGTGCTACATAGCATTGGTAGGTGATCGGTGTGTACGAGCTGGGGCGTTGCGTGTGTGGAAGGCGGGTGTCAGCGGTGACCATGCCGTTGCGTGTGCGATGGGTGGTGGTTTCTTCAGGCTGCCAAATCAGTAGTGACATGATGGATCGTAGCAAATTGACAGCGAGCCCTACCACCCCGTCTTTACGAGAGACGAGTGACTGTTGTGCCCGAGAGCGCTCACCAATCCAACCAACCATGGTCATGATTGTCGTTGTCAGCGTGGTCTCGACGCCTGTCTGTCTTCGTATTATTGCCCCTTCTAAATCTCTCCAATGTAGACACACGTAAGTATGCAGCAAGATCTAGAAGGCATCAGGCATCAATAAACAGTTCAGAGAAGGAATACGGTAAAGAACAACTTTTGGCAGAGATTGTATGCTATATAGCTCCCCCCCGCTTCCCCCCACAACACCATCCTTTCCCTCCGCATGCACGCCCCACGCAACGCCGACGAGGAAATCTAGCCTCGCCCTTTGGGACGGGAACCCCGCCGCGCACCTCTTTCCTCGCTTCGCCACACGCCCTTCGCACGCCGCACCACCGCCGAACCCCGCGCCGTCATCGCCCTGCGCCCACACGCATCGCCCGTCACCCACCCCAGCAAACCCCAGCACACCGAGACAAGACGTGAGGCGCTTATGCCACACCCTTGGTCGCGTTCTTGGAGATGAGCTTGGCCTTCTCGATCTGCGCTTGACCTGTTGTTCAAACCCGCGTCAGCTTCTCTCTATACAATCAGTAGCGAGATCGAAACTCACTTCGCTTGGCGAGCGCTTTCTTGTAGTCCACGATCGAGATGTCCTGCTTGGTGAGGTTGATGACCTTCTTGTCCTTGACCTCCCAAAGGTCCTCGGCGACTTGCGAGATGAGTCCTGCACACGGCATATGAGCGTCTGACGGTCTCCTTGAATCAGGATATCCAGACTCACGGAAGTCGTGCGAGACGATCACGACACCACCCTCGAACTCCTTGATGGCCGCGGCGAGCGCGTCGATGGAACCCATGTCCAAGTGGTTAGTGGGCTCGTCGAGGAGGATGATGTGGGGGTGCTCCATGGCGAGAAGGGCGAACACGACTCTGCGACACGATTCCACGTCAGTCACTGTCATCAGATGAAGCTGTGAAAGCGAACGCACCGGTTCCTCAACCCGTCAGAGAGCTGGTTGATGGGGTTGGTCTGGTGCGCGCCAGTTATACCGAACCTGCCGATCTGCTGCCTCCAGAACTGAATGTCCTTGTCGGGGAACTTGTCGCTGTAGAGCGCGGCGATGTGCTCGACGGGGGACTTGTCGTAAGGGAGCTGGTCGGCAGAGTGCTGAGAGTACTTGGCGAGCTTGAGCTGGGTGTGACGCCCGACAGTACCCTCGACGGGCTGGAGAGCACCGGTGATGAGGTTCAGGAGGGTGGATTTGCCGGTACCGTTGTCACCGACGATGGCGATACTGTCATCGAGACATGAGTAAAGGTCCTTGAAGATATAGAGGGGCGGAGAGACTCACCGGGAGTCCATGTCGATACCGAACGACAAGTCCTGGTATAGGTAGTCCTCCTTCTTGCCAGAGTACGAGAACGCGACGTCCGCGAACGCGATGATAGGAGGGGGGAGCTTGCGCACGTCCTCAAAGTTGAATCGCAGCTGACGGGGGATCTCAACCTTCTCGATAAGACCGGCGGCCTCCATCTTGTCGATGATCTTCTGCTTGGACTTGGCCTGCTTGACCAAGTTCGCATAGGTACCGGCGGACGCGATGAACTCTGTTATCTGATTAGCATGGGTGTGGCGAGAGTGACGGGCAGTACCCACTCTTGATGTGCGCAATCTCCTCCTGCTGCTTGGCGTACGCCTTCATCTGGTTGACCTCGTTGTCGCTCTTGGTGCTGAGGTAGGTCGAGTAGTTACCACCGTAGTACACAAGGGTCTTCTTGGGGGTCAAATCCATGATGTTGGTGCAGACAGTGTCCATGAAGTCGGCGGAGTGCGAGGTGAAGATCTGCCCGCGGCGTCAGTGTAATTCGGCCAACGCGACAAAAAGACTCACAAGGATGTGGTTGTAGGTCGAGAGGTACGCCTCGAGCCACACGACGGCACCCAAGTCCAAATGCGACGTAGGCTCATCGAGCAAAAGCAAGTGAGGCTTGATGAAGAGCGCTCGGGCAAGCGCCACCCTCATCCTCCATCCACCACTCATGTCCTTGGTGGGCTTGGCCATCATCGCCGCGCTGAAGCCCAAACCGTTCAGGATGGCACCCGCCTTGGCCTCAAACATGGCCGGGTCCATCTCCTCGAGCTCCTCGTAGATGGCCTCGAGGGCGAGCTCGTCAATGTCGTCCGCGGTGGACATGTCCTCCGCGAGCTTCTCGAGACGCGCAACCTTCTCCTTGGCGGAGGCGACAATGTAGTCGAGGGCGTTGACGTCGGAGGGCTCGACGGCACCGCTGACGAGGTAGATCTGCCGCGGGAGTTAGTGGGTCGGGTAGTGACAGAGGGAGAAAGGAGGACAGGGACGTACGTCGATGTGGTCGGGGATCTCGACATCACGCTCGGCGATGGATTGTAAGAAGGTGGACTGGAAGTCTGGTCAGCTTGGGCTCTTCAGTTCGAGACACGTTCAAGCTCACCTTGCCCGAACCATTCTCACCCAAAAGACCGTATCTGCCAGCATCTCATCAGCCGCCGATCCACCAGCTCGCCGACTCGACGCCACTCACCGCTGGCCGTAGTTCAAAGCGACCTCGGCACCCTCGATCAACAGACGACCGTGGAACGAAAGCATGTATTGGTCGATCTTGATGTCTCGCCCCTTGACGTCGGACACGAGCACACCGCTCTGTTATCCAATACGATGTCAGCGATGCACTTTGGCGTGTATTGGCGACAGCGACGGCGACGGCTCCTTTCTTCGCGCCTGCATTATTCTCCTCCCTTCCACGCGGCATCACGCCCAGCCCATCTCGCCGCGACGCTCGTAACACCAAATAGAGGAAACACGCACAGCACTCCTGTCGGTAGCGAGGGACAACTTCTTCATCTCACCAGCAGCGTCGAGCTCATCGGAGCTGGCGTTGGCGCTGAGAGAGGTCATGGGGGTGCTGCCGCCGGCGACGGAGGAGGTCTTGCTGGAGCCGGTCTTGCCCTTGGAGGCGTCCTTGGCGGCCTTTTGTTCGAGACGCTTCTGCTTGGAGGCGGAGGGGGCCATCTTGACGGGTCTTTTAGGAGGTGTGGGGGTAAGTAAAGTGGGGAGTAGGGTGTCCTGTATCGATGGACTGTTGGTGAAAAGAGGACTGAGGATTGAATTGGCCGCCGCTGAATAGGAAGCGGGCCACAGCGCACAATGAACATTTTTTGATACGAGGAAATCTGACGTCACGTGAGAAATTTGGTTCCGCGCTCATGTTGAACGGTCTCCGCTGAGGTCATCCTTCGCGGCGATGATCTGGATGGACGTTGTGGAACATTCATTACTTCGAAGAGCATAGAGAACCGACACTAGACGGTGGCGAATACTGCTACCAGACGATACCCGAAAGAAAATGACTCATTCCATTCCCCCATCCGACATCACAGCAGTCCTCGCCCACCTCTCCCTCCCCCTGCCCTCTCCCCCATCTCCGCCCACACTCCCTCTTCCCCCACTCGCATTCCTTCAAACTTACCTCTCATCCCTACCT